GATTAGTACACCCATTTCCTGGTTCACATTCTGTCACGCGTTTGCCTCTGTGTAGACCGCATTCAGCACACTGTCTACGGTTATGAATCAAAGTTCTGCTTGCCAGTGTCCAGCGTGCGGACATATGGAGCACAGAAAGAACAATCTAACCACGGCTCAAAAATACGGTCCTTTTCTAAAATATATGTCATTAAAGATTGCGTTTGTCCTGTGTCTCTATATGACAGGCTTTGGTGTGGTGGGATACCTGATCCGGTGGCATCAGTATAGCAAGTGAAGTACGATGTTGCTACCATGGAGTAATGTGCTTCATTCACTATCGCGACAGTGTAAACGTGTTTAATATGAAGAAGACTATTTTGAATAACTATTTAGGTTCCGCATATGACATCACTGGTTTAACAGATGGCAGCTGTTCAATAGTGAACATATAGATCCCTAGCCAACACAATGTCAATCAGTTGCCGAACTACTTGAACTTTCCATTCGTTGGAATTCGCATGCAGCAGTTGGCGTTGTTTCAAAATCTATAATGATTGCCGGTGCTTAAACTTCATAGTTTACATGCATATGCGGCAAGCTTATATTAAAGCTGTTTTTTGCAGGGTTATAACCATGATTATCAACATGTCACGCCAGTTTGTCATTCCACATTTAAAAAATAACAACCTCATTATTCCTCTTCTGATTCCGCACAGAACACAGCAGATGGCGCATGAAGCCCTACGACTTGACGAAACCACTTTCGACCAATCTGGTTGTTCTGTCCGGAGAATGCTACAAGGCATTTGCATTTCCTGTCCCTGTAACCAGAAAACTGTGATGGCACGTCAGCATTTTTCCAGCATGTTTGGTGGGACGAAAAAAAATTGCGGATTACGATTTGCAGAGTGGACATCGGCACACCTTTTGGATATTTTTACTTCAAAGGAAGGCGATTGTAGAAGATATAGGTGTCCGGTGTTTCTGGACAGAAAGTTACAATAAACATGAATCAGGACGCACGGCACGGAAATCGACCGGGATAACGTTTGTACGCACATAATCTCTCTTCACACAATAACTGGCGTTCATCTTCTTGGACATTTTCATCCTTGTATCGGGTTAAGCCGCAAAACGCTGTTATGCCAGAAAACGCCTTTGTGCCGTTTAGATTTTTGGATGCTGCTGCCTCATTTGTATATCAGATTGGTCACTTCATTCTGCCTGGTCTAATGTATGAGCGCAAAGCACCACGAAACACCCAACACATGGAAATAACTGGCTAGAATGAAAAGATTAATAGAATAAAAGTTAGAGAGCTCACATGTGCGAAACCTGGTAATTTTGATTGCTTGTTTTGCATTAAGAAGCCCAAATTTATCCAGCTTCTTCTGACGTCATTGCTTCGGTTAATGTCGATCTACCATTTACTTGTTTAATGATAGCTTTGCTTTCCATACAGTTGTCTTTGTTTTGATTATGTCACTTCAAAAACCATATTTAAGCACGCGCCTAGTCTAGGAAGAAGGACATTACTGGTGGAAGATTTGAAATGCACACGTCAGCTGATGCTTCAAACGTACCAGATCTCTCTCTTGCTCTTTAATCTTCTGGTTGCCAACTCACTGGAAATCAATAAAGTGGTTTAGTTGATGAAATTTGTCCCTGTGTGGATGTGTCTACGCTGATTTTCGCAGCTGTATATGGTGTTCATCTCAACAGTGCGCTGATCATGCAAGGTTTGAATGTCCACCAAGGTTGGCCTTTGAAGTTCCAATAACGTTTGCTCAGACGCAGTGGTCTCGACCGAAGCTTTTGTTGAAGCCTGGGTGCAAAACGTTTTTTTCCTGTTTACAAACCGATTCCAACATGAAAACGAACCTCGTCGTGAAAGTTTTTTGTACTAAAATTTATAATAAACTGCCGATTCATGCGGGCTGAACATGTGAACATGAGACAGTGTGAGAAGTTATGGTTTTGAGCATCTTAGATGCTTAAGGTTTTTTCGTTATGAACACATTTCTAGCGCTTGCTATCCGACTGCTGCTGAAGCTATTCATCATTTTCCTCTGCCTATATGAACAGCAAACGATACAGCCCGGCATGTGTTTTGGGTATTCGCAGTTTACTGGTTTTTGTAGCATGCCTGTGCTTACCGCTCGCTTGGAAGCATTTACCAAACTGAGACCAAATCTCGAACGTTAACCCGCATTCTCTCTCACAACGTTTCTATTCCTAGGGCTGCGATAATTGGCCTAACCATAGACAAAGCTGAAGCCTGTGGGTTTTCATCTATGGAGCAGATTCTTCTGAGCGACCGCCTCGTAAGCCCCAATGAGCATCAAACCAGGTTCTGCTTTTATCAGCAAAACGAAGGAAATTTTTTGAATGAAATAATTTTCACGAACACCTTCGGCGCATTATGGGATACAGACCACATGGTTTCTCGTAGTACCTCAATGATTTCAATCACGTTTCCACGATGGCATCTGAAGAGCACTGTTTTGAAAGTCTTATCGAAATGTAGATAGTTTTAAACATCCACACTCACAGCTTAAAAACAAACAGTCTTCCTCTCATATGCGTGCTGGTGCGTACATGTTGCAGAGTCCTCAATGGCACTTCAACACTTTCCTAACCTTACCTGTTGTACGATTGGAATAAAACGAACAGAAGTCAATTTTTAATTTCCTCAGATCCGGATGTGTTTCATGCAGCGGGATAGCCGGCCAGTAAACAGAAGACAAAAAACATTTTGGGAAGTAGGGCGAATTTTATTGATACCGCATGTACATATCTCCACTCGTGTGAAAGATTTGTTCATGTCGCAGCGTAAATTCAATCCTTGAATCTCCGTTAGTCGCAGGCGGATTATCGATTATTGACGCGTATTTTTTTAATGACGGATGCATCTCAGAAGCCAGGATAATGCCTAAGGCATATACATCATATACATCTTTTACTGACATAGCCGGCTACCGTAGTAAATTTCTAGCTGGTAACAGGGAAACTGACCTGAAGTCGGTCCTGCAGGATTCGTAGATGAGCCATCAAATCAGATATACGCCTGTCCTGCTCTGTAAGTAATGTGGAAAAGGGCATTCAGAAGACCATTCTGCAAATGGCATTGTAAGGCATAACATGAACCTTCAATGTGAAAGCAAGCGTCCAAATGTTCTCAACTAAGCAGAAAGTTGCCACTAGAAATTCTGGCCACCTTAGCCGTGCCTTCAGCCAGCAACTGCCAGATGTAATTGGCGCGTTGCAAACCACTGTAGAAGAAGCACTTGGCATATTTATCTTTCCAAATCACGTTTCTCACGAAGGAAACCAGTTTTATTAGTTATGTGGTCAAAAATGTCGATGGTATCTCGGAAGTCTTCTGGCGCTTTCTCCGAGATGATCTGACTGTTCGACAATTTGGTAAACAAAATATCGTTATACACACCGTGGCTTTAAACAGCTACAACGAATTTTAAAATTGTTCTTGATCTAACTGCGCGCTGAAATATGGACGTCAACCATATATCCCCACATTTATCACACTGGCTACTTGCTGCCAAGGAACATCTCTGATGTTTTGCAGCTGTCGTGCTGCGCTTTGGCTTGTAGTTAATTTACTAAAGCTTCCTGCCCAATAGGAGTAGATTTTCAAACATCGGTGAAGCCATTTATTTGGGATTAACCCATTCTGAATTCCAATATAATTAACCAGCTTTATTATAGAACTACTTCGAAGGGTTTGTTAACATCTAGCCGTATACTCACTCGATAGTCTAAAAGAATTTACGAGACAAACGTAGGATTACTCCTTTTCGGATGGCTCTCGGATGTCCCTCAGATTGGGGCCACGTCGGCCTACGTTGAGGTTTTGTGGAAAACCACAGTGAATTAGAGTTTGCGGTTTGTGGTGTTTTGTCATGAAACCAGTTAATTATTTCCAAATTAGGCAAATGCAACGTTTTACGGTCAACGGTTGAGTTGAACACCACTGAACCAACTTCAGCTTTGCGGCTGAATTAACATCTCGCCAGGGCTTATTACTGCGAATCCTAAGGTCTCAGCAACAAATATCTAGAAATAAACACAAACAAACAACCCAGGGTTTCTGGCGACTGACCAGACGATACCGATGAAGCGAAGCAGGTTCAATGTCGTACCTGTTAGCGCATTCATATAGTGACGTGCGATATTAGTTCAACTTACAGGTGCATGAAGCTTAAATTGCTTACTGACCAGCACTCATGAGAACAAAACTGGACGGGGTTGGAATTAGCTACACGACCATTTGCAATGGTGTAACGTAATTTCATTGGCGAGTATAACGCTGACCGTTATGCTGAGATCATTTGGGAGCACCGTAAACACACTGTGACCTAGACCGTACTGCCGAATGATGCCCCTGAAATCAAGTTGGGCGCAGAGTAATTCGGCTACTTCAACCCGCATAAGTATACCAACGGGGTTATCCTTTGCGTGGACAGGATATTCGTGGATACTATTGGTTACGTAAAGCTCAGATTATAATTACATGGCAATTTGTCTAGCTTATGTAAGTTATATGGCTATTTGTTTAGTTTATGTAAGTTTCAGTTGTAGCGCAAAAACAGAACGAAGAAAACGTGGAAAACGTTGTCCAGTGATGAATGTTTCATCCTAATCTAAGGCGTACTACTTGGGGCACACATAATTCTTTACCTATTCTGAAAAAGCAAACGCCCTCCGGAGGAAGTCTTTGTGCAACGTGCCAAACCAGATAGCAAACTGCATACGAAGCGAAGCAGGTTCAATGTCGTACCTGTCAGCGCATTCATGTAGTGACGTGCGATATTAGTTCAACTTAAAGGTGCATGAAGCTTAAATTGCTTGCTGACAAGCACTCATAAGAACAAAACTGGACGGGGTTGGAATTGGTACACGACCATGGAGATGTAAACAACTGAAGTATATTATATCGACAATGACGGTAAAATATTTAGCTGCGTTCGGACTCTACAAACGTTTGTGTTTCTCTATAGATGCTGACGAAGACAAACCTTCGGCGCAGATGGCGATATCTGTTGATTCCGCAGCTGCTTCTTCCCAATCCGTCTATGCGGAAACTGACCGCAAGGGATCAAGAAAGAACCCTGAATTACCTACGACTTTTTATCATTGCCCTCAATGCCCAAAGCGTTTTACTCTGCCTTATGTGCTTGGGCGCCACATGAATACGCATTTGAAGCAGAAACCGTACAAGTGTGACTTTTGTCCAGCTTCTTTCAGATTACGCGTAGGTAAAGAAGGTCAAATGATACAGCAGCATTGGAAGAAGTTGAGGGCCAGTAAAAACGAAGGAAATGCCCGGTATTCAGGGCTGCTGAAACGAGAACGTTATGTATGTCACATTTGCGGGAAACTTCTGTGTTAAGACTGTGCTGGATAAACACATGCCTGTACATTGCCTGGAGAATCCATATGCTTGTCAATTGTGTGGCTATAGATTTACGCATTCCGTTAGTCCGACAAGACATACAAAGTTTTGTCGGCCTGGTGGTACCGAAGCAATGGCTGATTGAAATCAGCAAACTACTTTGACTCACTGCTGAAATCATCGTCCCAGTTTTGCTGCAAACCAACTCAAACTGAAAATAAAGAATTGAAAATTTGGACTTTTGGTTTAATGTGCCTGGAAATTGTGTGCAGGTTGTAACCCAAATTATCGAAAAGCGCGCGACAAAATTTCTTGAGAATCTACTTGACATGTTAAAGTTCACAAGTTCTTGAGGACTCGTGAGCAAATATCGACGCAGAAAACAGTAGATTCAAGTGTGGAAATTGTTCAACAGAGAAGAAATAGGTGCCTGTCCACCGAATCCATCGCAGTTTAGCTTTAGCCACTACCATTCTGAAGCCGAAACTACCAAACATTGGGGGCTAAAATGGTGTAATTGACGCAGGCCACAGTTCATGTTACGGTTCCCGATGTCATCTAAGAGGGCGGGTTCTAGCATGCACATCTTTCGTGTATCTCTATTCAGTGTACTGCTGGTACTGCACAGACGTACCATCTTATCTAGGTAAAGCGAAGTTTACAATTCTATTTAACCGGGTGACAGCCTTGTGTTACTCCCAAATAATGAGTGTATCATCTAAGTGAGGAAGGCCAAAAGATCTCGAACATCAAGTGATATTGTCTTCGCGTACATAGGAGTATTCTGCGTGTTTCGTCATTAATATGGATGTATGATAAGCAGCTAGTAGTTGGTGGTTCTCGGTGTGGATGTCAGCATTATTGTGATTCCACAAGAAATAATCATAGGGCATTTTTCAGTATTCCTTTCACTTCCCCCAAATATGTTGTCAGCCGTTTTTCTTATTTAGCACCTGCTAAGAGGAACTGCATTGCGGATGGTTCAGCCTTTTTCAGCTGTTCAAGCGTCAGAGAATTCCCGGTTGCGTTTTTTCCAAAGTTTTCCAAACCGGGTGACAGCCTTGTGTTACTCCCAAATAATGAGTGTATCATCTAAGTGAGGAAGGCCAAAAGATCTCGAACATCAAGTGATATTGTCTTCGCGCATATAGGAGTATTCTGCGTGTTTCGTCATTAATATGGATGTATGATAATCAGCTAGTAGTTGGTGGTTCTCGGTGTGGATGTCAGCATTATTGTGATTCCACAGGAAATAATCATAGGGATTTTTTCAGTATTCCTTTCACTTCCCCCAAATATGTTGTCAGCCGTTTTTCTTATTTAGCACCTGCTAAGAGGAACTGCATTGCGGATGGTTCAGCCTTTTTCAGCTGTTCAAGCGTCAGAGAATTCCCAGCTGCGTTTTTCCCAACGTTTTCCAAACCAAACATATCATCGCCTTAGGCTTGCCCAAGACGAATGTTAAGACAGGACTACCATCGCCATAGCCGAAACCAAGGCGACCTCCGATGGTTGCGCTCCTATGCAACGATACTGGAGTTGCTGGACTGCAGTTAGGCCATTGGTACTTTTCAAGCTACAGGAGTACAGGAACTTGGATCCAAAGTCACAACAACTGAGAACGATGCGTCTGGATAGCACAATAGGAAGCGCAAGCAAGGTTTGCGCTGTTCGACGTGGTAGTATGTCACATATTCTGTTGACCAAAAGGCTTTAATCTTAGATCTTTTGTTAGTAATATAATTCAGCACATTCATTGAGTCGGTCCAAAATAAACGCATTTGGCATCTCCAGGTATCACAAACCTCACATAAGTAGCCGCTCTAAAATCGACCTCACGTGCGTCAGAGAAAACATGCAACGGCTGATTTTCGACAAAACCCTTATTATCAACTCATCCCGGAATAACTAATGACTAAACAATTTCATGTCATTTGTTTATTTCCCTAGAGCATTTTCAGCAATTTGAATTGCAGCTCCGTCCAAGCAGACATACCTATTCTGGTTACACTTTTGCCTGTAACAACCAGGGCGGACGTAGCCCAGAGGATCATATAGCAAAAGATGGAATAAATTGCTTGGTTACTGAATACTACGGCATCCCTAGTTCAAACCTGAAAATGTCGATAGTGGCACACCAGCTGAATCTTCATCTCTTCTGCGTAACAGCGAGTAATGAGTTCAAAGAGAAAAATGGGAAAAAGTGCGATCTTCTCTGGAAGGGGACCCAGTTGCTACTACCTGTCCATTCAGATACCAACATACCACCCTGGCAAGCCAATCGACCAATCTAATAGTATGGTGGGCAGAATCTGTGGACATGGGTTCACCAAAGTAAGAATTTTTCTCCAATAGCTTAATCTAACCACCATCGAAAGATTCCCATTTGCCGGCAGGTTGTCTCAAACCGCACGTCGAAGAATCCACACCCTTGCTGATAAACTGCAGTGCCCTGCTTGTGTTCTGGGTGACCACCAAATCCCGAGAAGTGACAATAGTAAACTAGATTCCCAAACGCAACGCTGTTTGCTTTTTGTGTAAATGGATTCCGTAACTTTTTAGAGTTTGGTCTTCTAATACATTGAGGAGTGGTCACAAGCACGCACTATGAGGACGATTGTGCGTGGCGGAATTCGCGTATCTTCATGTTGAATGAGCCAGCTTGTTGAATGTGGTTGTTGAAAAACTGCAAGCATTTTACGGCTGGAATACAAATAACGTTCTAGATGGAAAACAAGCAGTAACCGAAGATTGGGGACTGTCAGAAATAACGGTAATATGGACGAAAGGCCACACAGGCGAAATGAGCAATATGCCACGGAGGAATTTGGTACATTATTTAGGTACAATTTAGGTACAATATTTAGGCGGTCCACAGGCTTCGCTCATGGAATCAATGGTGCCTGGTGCGTGCTAATAGTAATGGCATGAAAATTGAGAAAATAGTTTGAGCTCGTGGTAATACAACATCAAAAAACCTCAAAGTGCGAGCGTACAAAATAGAAAAGAAATACCGAGTTTACTTAGGAAACATGGTTGAAGTTGAGCAAAGTCACTCCTTTGTTTGTGCCAGGCCATGGAAAATTTGGTTTGCCGTGTGCGGCCAAACCACCGAAGAATGGCATGCCTCATATCGAAAACGCGCTCCACCAAAACGTAAACTGATTTTACCTGGTCAACTATGATGATTGTTCCAACTACCTCCAGTCGTACACTCAATCACAAGACAGAAAATATTTCGATGAAAGAAGTGAGCAAGTGCTCTGATTTGATGCAAAATGACAGGAAACCTTTTTGAGCTAGTTAGAAGGGCGCCGTCAGTAGGTTCATCACATGAAAGCTGACCAATCATTTCACAACAGTGCCAGGAGCTTGGGTCAACAATGACCCGTTATTCCACCCTGAGACAGCTGGAAAACAAAGAAAAACTAGAATAAGGGTTCTAAGCGGATCTGAATTGTTTGCTGGTTTCAAAGAGTTTGTAATATTCATACCGTATTATATATTTTTGGCGAATAAATGTCAGAGCTCACAAATGAAATCAGGGTGCTTTGTCTTTTGCCTGAAGTGCAACATGAGATATAGAGACGATACATGACAAATTTGCATGATAATACGTACTTCGGCAATCCCGTCAGACATTGGGCGGGGGAATTTGCAGATACGTTTTTGGGCCGGATGTCCAATCATAGTATAACATGCCTATTTCCACGTTTTTTTATTGAAATGGCTAAATGTGGAATATATCCCAGATAAAGTTAAGATGTCGTCTCAATTCATTTTCATCCGATATTCTGGAATCAGGATGTTCTGATGACACTCGAAAGGTTGTAACAGGTTCATTCGTCTGACCGGCCGAATTTGGTTGACCGTTGAGCGAATTGGAAATGTTCGCCCTCCTTCGGTGCACTTGTGTTCAGTTATTTTGAACGGAATACACATTGGTGCTGATGTTATAAAAAATGATAACAATTTTACTTAGTAGCCGTCTTTTACACCAGAATTATCAAAAAATGCAATTAATCATTTTCCAGTGGTTACATTTTTCGGCGATAATTAGTTTATGAAAATAAAAGGTATTCTTCGACGTTTGGAAAGCTCACAAAACGGTTCCATATCTTGTTTAAAAGACACTTGACTAGTTATGCATGTTGTTGTCTGATCGCTATTTAATCGTTGTTGTTTGATTATTGCCCTGTGAAATGTTGAATGTCTCTTCGACCGTTGCAAGTTGTTGGCTCTTGCTGCAAAACCCTGGACGACGGACCTGTTTCGGTCCGCTGTTAGATTCAGTGATGAGGTTTTTATTAGTAAAAGTTTATTTTCGACTGCGTTTTGGTGTTGCCGATTTGTCCGCTTATTTGAAGAACTTACCTTATGCTCATGGGCAGCGACATACCGATAAACTCGTCAACACGACTGGATTATATTTTTGATTGCTGAAGTGTAAATCACAATAAGTAACTGCATAACCCGCAGAGAAAATTTCATACAAACTACCGCTGAATGTAAGACAACACCTGAGCGCACACAGCCTATTTACGGTACGTGAGTAGCTGAGTGAAATGTTCTGTTGTCAAGGTGGTAAAAGACCGGCACAAAGGTTGCCAGTTCTAAAGTCTCTGAGTTACTTCGAATACCCATAGATGACGATACGCTCTCAGTATGTAAATGTGTATTTGGCTGCTAGAATGATTGCGAGCTGGCGGTCAAAATAATTTACATCCTTTCAGGTTGTCGTTCAGAATAAAATTCCAGTGTTATTCTTGTACGTTTTGAGATGATCAAGCGCCGTCACCAATTGACAGCCGTTTAATAAAACTTGAGTGAAAAAATGCGATGAATAATTCAAACGAATATTAATTAAATTAACTTACTGAGCGGACGCGATGTTTCGGGTGGGGAATAATCGCAAATTATGCACGCGCAGAATCGACAAATTCTTAGGCCTGAGAAACTGTAGACGTCCTCCAATGATGTTTAAGATGCGCTGAAGCTTCTGTACCATACTGAGTGTTGTAATCATCTTTTGGAATAAACACACCGTGCCACATGATGATGATAGCTGCACATTTGCGCTAACCGCTTTCCTCTGTATTGATGGTCTGTGTTATGCCCAATCCGCATTGTCATAATGTATCAAATACCATGTTGTGGCAACTAGACAATGAAGCGCTGTAATTTCAGAGGCACAATCAATCCAGGCAGATGTTGAGTGCAACAAATAGTGATGTCATGATTCTTATGGACCTCGGCTTGCCTTTCAAAGGAATGCGCAATCACGTTCTCGCAGCGGTGTGGTTTGAACTGTAGCCCATAATTTCACCTGACTAGTCGTTTAGCAGCCAAAGCAGTAAAATGGTGTTATGAATTGGGAATCATCTAGTTGCTTTCTAAGGGCAGAGCCGACATTTGTTCTGATTGTGAAGCAACATGGTCCACATTGCAGCATTTATTGCGTTCCATTCAAGCTACTCTGCACAACACGGCACGCCGCCAAATTTTGGGGTGCATTTTTGGAGATATTGCGAAGTCCTAAGAATTAGGCTCATATAAAATATACAAATTAAAGGTGCTACGAACGTTTTGAGTAAACACATTCTATTTTCTACGTTTGAAGCAATAGCAGTATAAACACTCCCGCCTAGCTCTGTCAATTTATTGTAACGTTTAAATGCAACATTCTGATTAGAATGCACCGCAAAAGAGCACAACGTTTACGAAAATATTACCACGAGTTTTTACTAACTGTCGAAATAACTGGAACAATAACCACATATATGACCACTACATTTTTGGATGTTTGGCGTTTAAACGGTGATCTGAAACACTGCGGATCTCAAAATAGCACAAGTGCAGCGGGGAACGGACACCAATATCAGGTTTTCCACCGAGAAATTCGATTGACTGTTTTGACCCACCAAAGGTTTTTGTTGATTTACTGAAGTAAGAATTAGGCTCATATAAAATATACAAATTAAAGGTGCTACGAACGTTTTGAGTAAACACATTCTATTTTCTACGTTTGAAGCAATAGCAGTATAAACACTCCCGCCTAGCTCTGTCAATTTATTGTAACGTTTAAATGCAACATTCTGATTAGAATGCACCGCAAAAGTGCACAGCGTTTACGAAAATATTACCACGAGTTTTTACTAACTGTCGAAAAAACTGGAACGTACATCATATGTCTGTACCATAGTAGATGTAACAAAACAGATGTACACACTGAGATGCCGTGCCACAACCAGAAGAATTGCAGCGCCGAAGCGGAAAGATTTTGAATTGATAAAATGTTTCGTATTTAGGGAATGCTGTCTGCTTTGGATAAAAAACCGTTCTTGGATAGTTAACGAGTGTGCAATGTTAACGAGGGTGCAATTCCCGGTGCAATTAAACAGGTGGATGACACAGACTGCGGATCAGCACACATGCATGAGCACCGCCGATAAAACCAGGTCATGTCTTTTCCCCAGCCTTTCGTGTCATATGTGCGTTCTTATGTTTCAACTCAGATAAACGAAAAGCTATCGCAGAAGAGAAATATGCCAAACAGTTTGATTACTGTGGCAAATGTTCGGATCTAAGGTAAACCTTTTGTGGCGTACGAAGTTCCCTGGGCTTAAACTAATATTCCGAAGTCTAATAGCACATTTTCTCAGCACTTCCCAATCCGAATGCACTTGGTCGTAGTTCATCCAGAAACTGAACGCCGTGCAAGTCAGCAATCAAGTGTAGAGTGTTAGTAGATTGCAGGAACTCGAAGTTGTGGGATACATTCTGAAGACACACCTCAATCAATACTGCTCAAAGCAAATTTCACTTGGTTGAACATCCACCACAAATTCACTGAATATCTTATGGCAGTATTATTCTGGTTATCGTAGAGAAGCCGAAAAGCAACAACTGATTCATCAAACTATTTTGAGGCTTCTTGATGGAACGACTGTATGCTTTCTAAATGATTTGTTGCGTTACAAATACTTGCATTCTTGTTTTACATTTTTCGTGCATTTTAGGCGTCAGGCATGGACGTGACTTCAAAGGACAATTATGTCATCATATTTCTAAAGCACGAAGTTGATGGTGGATTCCACTGTGTTAAACGTTGTTTTGAGGACAGCCTGATCAGTCAGACTGCTGACGTATTCCGTGTCTGTCGGCAGATGCACACAAATGACCCAGTGATCATAAGCGGCCACCGCAAAATGAAACTAGTCTCGCGGCATCACGAGCACATTGAAAAATATTCCACATCAAATTCGCATGGTAGCCATTTGAGCCGACGTTTGCTAGCCACCAGGTAGAAACGATTCTAGGGATTACCCACCGTGGACAAACCTGATGCTAGTTACAGGGACCAGGAGATCGCGCTTTTTGCTTAAAAGAAAATCTCTGCAGACGTACATTAGAAAATGACGCGTGGAGCAAATAGTGCCAAAGCAACAACGTGACTTACAGTTGAGTGTGCCATCTGCCTAATACATTTTCGAGTGAAATGTAATAATGACAGACAAGTTATGTGTAAATGTAGAAATGTAGAAAATACAGAAAATCAATGAAAATACTGGAGAGAGATAACGTAATGTTTGATTTGAACGTGGCCGAAGAATTTTCCCACTGTTTTGTTCGTCAAATGTATAATGCTAGTAAAGCCCTCGGCATTTTCACACTGGAAAATCAATCATTTTCGCGGCAGTAGCTCTGCGGCCAACAAGAGGGATATTCAACATGATCAGTCTTGGATTCGCACAAGAAGCAGAGCATGCAGTGATGTAAGACGCGGTGAAGAAGTATGTAACGTGACAACCGCTTCTATGTTCGATGAAACTAGCGGACGCAAAGCAACGACGTCCGAAGGTAAATTCATTTGACCGGGTCAAAATGCAATTTGTTGAATAACAGAAAGCCATTTGAAAAGTTGGTTATACCTTTTCGCACGATCTATGAAAAAAACGCACGGGATACATTAAATATACTTTTTATATTTGTATTTCGAGTGCTGTGCGCAATCTCGATATTTTGGACCAGGACAAACAACTTAATTTAACAGTCCAGATTTTCTAATCCTTGCCTGTGACACCACGTACAGTTCTGCAGTGATCTCGCAGAAAACACAATGCATGGCACGCCAAACCTGGAGGTCGTTTGATAGGTGAGATTTTCATGCATTCGTGAAAATCTTATTGTATGTGAAAGCGATACCACGAGGAAAAGGATGCAATTTCAAACTGAAGACACCAAATGATCCAACCAGAAAGAGTATATTATAATCGCGACGCAATTCACATCACATGGTGATCAATCTAACAAAAATACCAACTCTTTGCTAGGAATCTATTTACAACGGTCATATACTGTGTAAAAACTACCGAAGCATCACGGGGAGTTCAAATGTACATCAAAGCACCATCATGTTATTAATGCAACAGTCCAGACCACCGATTAGATAAAAAGGCAGCGTGGTTCATCTGGCAGTAATCAGCAACCCTGCTAAAAGATGTTCATCAATTTCTCCCATTGAAATTTAGTTTTTCCATCGTGCGTAGCTTATTCAAGTGAAACAGGGGTCAAGTGGCGATCAGCTGTAACCTTTGAAAAGTCAGTGGGATTTGGAGCTTTTTCTTGCTCCAACTTTACTATTTGATCCCTCCCTTGTGGAGAGAAAAACTTAGCTGATTTCTCACATGTATCGTTCCAAGCCAATGCATAACTTGACAGTTGGTTAACCAGGGGGACCAAAATCATCCATATGGATACAACCACGGCGATTAAATATTGCTAGCTCGGTGTGGCTGGATAGCAAATTTGGATGTAGTATACTGTATTTAAGTAAAAAAGAACAACGGAACAAATCTCGGTGTGCTTTGAAAGTGGCACCATTTATGGGCAAAAAAAACTTAATGAGATAAACGAATGTTCGTTCCACAACCTTTTACCTTAGTATTCCCTATTAAAGTTGGGAAGTTGTAATGAAACAAAAACCGTCAAGGAATAGTAACTCGAATAGGAGCGCTATCGAAATGGCTGCAACGAAACCAAAAAGCCTCCCTTTTC